ATCTTCTTTGTTAAAGATGGCAGCCAGCCCATCAACCACTAGGAGAAACAGGTACTGGCTTAGGGGGTCACCCCGTCTAAGTCCTTTCATGGGGGCAAACTGCTCTAGAATTTCCTCATTCAGTTTCACTAAGAAACAAACAGATCTGACACAAGTCATCACCTAGCTAATTCACAACGCGCAGAAGCCCATTTTCTCCATAGCCCCCTCCAAATAGTCCCAATCCACTCTATCATAAGCTTTGGCAAGGTCCAAATGTATGCACAACTTGTTGGTTTTTTTCTTTGTTGAATCTAATGGAAACACTCAACGGCTATTATAGCATTATCTGAGATCATTCTTCCTAGGATGAACGCACTCCGAGTCTTCAAGATTAGCTGATCTAATAGGGGTCTCAGCCGGTTAACTAAACACTTCGAGATGACCTTGTAGATTACGTTTCAAAGGCTGATTGGGCAGAAGTCTTTTAAGCTTTGTGGGTTCTTTCCTTTTGGGATGAGCACTATGGTCGTGTCATTGATGCCTTCCGGCATGATCCCATTTTCAAAGAAATTATGTACTATTGTGATCACATCCGTTTTTAGAGTCTCCCTATTTCGTTGGAAGAATCGAGCTGGAAATCCATTTGGGCCTCGAGCTTTTAATGATCCAATATGAAAGAGGATGTCACTTATTTCCTTGTCTGTGATTGTTTCTGTGAGGCTAGTATTCATGTCATTCCCAACTTCAGGGGAGAGTAAATCAATCAGTTTAAACAGAACCACACTCCCGTTCTTTTTTATATAGCTCTTTGAAGAAATATGTTGTAAGTTTGTTTAATTCCTCCTTCCTTTCAACCCAAACACCCGTGTTGTTCTTTAACTTCTTTATCGAATCTTTCTTCTGATGCCAAGTGGCCTTCTTGTGAAAAACCCTTGTGTTCTGATCCCCTTCTCGAATCCACGTGGCCCTGGATCGTTGGTGCCACATCAGTTCTTCTCGGACCAGCAACTCATATAGTTCAACAACGAGTTTCTTAATCTGGGCATCGTCTCTCCGATGGTTAGATTTCTCAGTCAGATACTTTAGTCGATGTCTCTTCTTTTAATATTCCATGTGATTGCCCCAAAGTATTTCTTAGACCAAGCCGTCAGCGAGCTCTGGACTCTGTTCAGTTTGCGTGCCACATCCACTAAATTCCCTGCCGAGCCCCCTCCATCCTAGGCCTCCTTAACAATCGGCTATAGCGTGTGGACTATCTCCCACATCATTTCATATCTGAACATTTTCTTTCTTTCTTGAGGTCAATCGCCTTCTAGCGTCAGCAATGGTGGGAAGTGGTCTGATCTTGATGTGACAATATGTTGCACTTGTGCTTGCGGGAATAGATCATTCCAAGGTGTTGAGGCCACTCCATGATCTAGCCTGGCTCTGGCATTTTTGTTCCCCATTTGTTTATTATCATAAGCCCAATCCTGTATCCCAAGTCATGTAATTTGAGATAACACCTCTCAAATTTCTCATGTTTCTCCCTGACCATTTTGTAGTTGAGAAATGCTCCCCATGCCACATGGTCTCATTGAAATCCTTTATCATCATCCACGGTTCATTTGACCTGTTCTTTATTCTATTTAACAAGCTCCACATGTGATGCCTCTCGTGAGCTTTGGGCTCACCATACACAAAAGCGCCCTGCCACCAAGGGCCATGGGGATCATAACGCAGGTGCACATCAATATACCTCAGACCATATGAGAGCATCTTTACTTCCACACTATCATTCCAGTACAGAGCAATACCGGCACCTTTGCCCCTCCCATCATGGGTAATACAATGCTCTAGTCCTATCCTCTAGCTTATTTTCTTGACACTCTCCTCGCAGTGCCGTGTCTCAGATATGAACACGACAGAGGGACGGTGAGTGTGCACTAGGCACACGAACTCACTAACACACCCCTTTTCATTCATATTATTCTGTTTGTTTATTGTAATTTGTACAAATGCTTCGAAAGTTTAGATTCGTAATGCTCATCATCATTGCATTTTTATCTTGTTTGCCGGCATGGACACTTTTTGATCTTTTCTCTGCTCTATTTGGGCAACTCAACAACACTTTCAATCCATTAAGAAGACACTTAATTCATTATACAAAAGAGACGGGAAAACGGTGATAAAAACTCCACGATAATAAGAAATCCAAAAAAGGATATAACTGACGAGGAAGGAGCTAAAGAACCTATCAACAGTGATGCATCTGCTTCTACTTCCCCCTAACGATGGAACAAATCCAACTGTGCAAACTAGTGCACCTAAGCACAACAATCATGGTATCATTATCATCTACCATTTTATAAATATTGAGGTACCTGTTTGCGCAACTCAACAACACTTTCAATCAATTAAGAAGACACTTAATTCATTATACAAAAGAGATGGGAAAACGATGATAAAACAAACTCTACAATAATAAGAAATAAAAAAAAGATATACCGGATGAGGAAGGAGCTAAAGAACCTATCAACAATGATGCATCTGCTTTTACTTCGCGTAATGATGGAACAAATCCAACTGTGCAAACTAGTGCACCGAAGCACGACGATCATGGTACAATTCACCATTTTATAAATCATGAGGTATCTGTTTACGCAACTCAACAACACTTCAATCCATTAAGAAGACATTTAATTCATTATACAAAAGAGACGGGAAAACGATGATAAAACAAACTCCACAATAATAAAAAAAATCCAAAAAATATAACGGGTGAGGAAGGAGCTAAAGAACCTATCAACAATGATGCATCTACTTCTACTTCCCCTAATGATGGAACAAATCGAACTGTGCAAACTAGTGCACCTAAGCATGATGATCATGGTATAATCCACCATTTTATATGGGGTGGTGGTAGTTCAAACATTGCAGATAGTTTCAACGGTGGTTGGACTTCCTACTTTAATTCACCTATTGATAGATTGTGAAACATAAATAAAAAAGTAACGTAGCTAGCCTGATTTATAGAACAGAGATGCGGGCAGGAGGGCTTTGTTTGCGCAATCTTGTTCGCAACACCCTCTCCTCTAGCGAACTTGCGATCGCCACCTCTAACTGAATGCTCCTCCCATAATAAAGTTAGCCTTACCCTATACAAAGCTCATGGAGGCAACATTTTCTCACTATCCTTAGAAGTAAAAAATGAGGCAACAGATGAACTGGCTATTCGTGATACGCAACTTCTTTGCCACAAAGAAAAAGTTGGGAAACCATTAAAAAAATTGGGGACATTATTAGTTCACTAACCACACCAAGTCGAGTGTGAACATCGACATCGACATTGGCATGGATGTACACCACCGTGTCACTATTCATTACATTACAGATATTGTTAAAGTTTTATTTCAGTTTTTATTCTTGTCTTTCTTTGTTTCCTAGTTGTGTTATTACCGAAAACTCCCCAGAAAATTATCATGACATGAAAACCTGGAGACATTGCTACTCCAAATGAGAACTTTATGCATGCACCAATCGCGCATCCTGATGTTGCTGCTGAACAATTTGAAATTAAGCCCCACTTAGTAATTATGATTCAACAAAAAATTGAAGACTCTACATCAGAGGATGTCGGCATGCATTTACACACTTTTACTAAATTGTGCATTTAAACAATTTATCAAAGAATATAACCATACATTTTGAAGTTGCATCTATTTTCTTTCTCTTTTAGAGGGAAATCAAAAGAATGATTTCTGGTTTTGCATAGAGGAATTATAACTTCATGGACTCTATGTTGTAGCATGTCTTAATCTAAGTTTTGTCCCCATGCAAAAACTATGCAACTTCGATCTGAGATCACATGTTTTAAGCAGGAAAATTGCGAGCCACCAAGGCTTGCATGAGACCACATGAGGGAGGCTATGAGAAATTGCCCCAACCATGGGATAAAAGAATGGTTAATTGTTCATATTTTATAATGCTCTTAATCCCATATAAAAAATCATGCTTGATACGAGGAGAAATCATTATGGGAAGACCAATCGTGGAGGCCAGAAATTACATGATGAGATGCAAGAGAATCATGCCCAATGAAATATGGAGAGGTCTATCATAGGAAAGGTTTATTCTATCTCTGAAGAGAAAAAAAAATGAAGAGTTGGTCACCAATACTGATGAATTGATCAACACCATAAGAGATCAAGAAGATGTAAATGTGAACTCCAATATCGATGCAGATGTTAATAATATTAACTTTATTGCTCACGACAACTATAATCCTAATTGAAAAAAATCAAGGTTATGCTCCTAATTATCGTAAAGCATCACATACAATTATTCAAGGAGCACCTAACAATTTCAATGGAACGAGCAACGATAATAGAAGTTCTTTGGATTGAACTCTTAAAGCTTTTATAATTGTTCAAACTGAGCAGAACAAGATATACATCATGTATTTTGATAATGTTATTGTGTATTCGGAAAAAGTGTTCAAAATATATTTAAAAAATATATACATTATGTATTTGTAAAAATGTCCAATGTGTATCGAAAAAGTGTTTCACATGTGCTCTAAAAATGTACATTGTGTACAGAGAAACAGGTAGACATGTGTTAAGAAAACAAAACCGATAAAAAACGACGAAGAAACAAAAGGAAAAGCAAAAAACCTAAAGCAAACAAACAAAATCAAAACCAAGAAAGAAACAAAGGAAACCATAGTATAACGGAGAGAGAAAGAAAAATGAAAATCGCACAAAAATATATATATGAAAAAACCCAACTTGAAAACAAAGAAAACCAAGTAAAAATAAAAACCAGGAAAACCGGTGGGAGAACACATAAAACCATAGAAAAATTAAAAGAAAACGAAAAAAAACGAAACTATGCGCACCTAATGGGCCGGGCCGCTAGTCGTCACCAGTAGGCGATTCCTACACGTCCCGGCGGCCTGCGCCGGCCCACCCAGTGCCTTTCCCCTCCCCCAAGGGAACCTCTGCAAACAAAATCCCCCACCCCTACCACGGCCGACGATGTCTTCCGCCCCCGCCCCCGCCCCCGACTCCGACCACTGCGACGCCGGAAGCATCATGGCCGACGTCCTCTCCAAGGGCCGCGAATCCTGCTACAAGGTAATCCCGAACCCTATCTCCGCTCCCGCTAACCCCGTCCCCCATTGCTGACGTAAGCGCTTCGATCCTCCACCCCAAGGCCCGGGACGCCTTCTACGCGTGCGTGGAGAAGCACGCGGACAAGAAGCCCACCGAGATCGCCACCATGGGGCTCCTCTTCCCCGCCGACTGCAAGAAGTCCCGCGCCCAGTACGTCAGCAGCTGCCGCCCCTCCTGGGTAACCACTATGACCCCCATCCGCCTCGCAGCCGGCCGCCATCCCTCCATGATTCGCGTCTGCGCTTGCTTCTCCTAACGCTCGGCTTCGGTTTCCTTGCCAGGTGAGGCACTTCGACCGGCAGCACTGCGCCAAGAAGCGCGTGCAGAGGCTGCTCGACGGCGACGACGACGGCCGGGGTCCCATGTCGCTGCCCCAGCCCTACACGTTCAAGCAATAAGTGGCGCTGACGATGGGCCTGTCCTTTGTACGAACCAAGTCTGGCCGAGATGGTATTGGTTTATTGTTCTCTACTAGTCAGTACTGTCGAGATGGATGCTTATCTGCTGCCTAGTATGTTGAAGAAATTGTGAATCTGTGACTTCGTAGCGATCATGACCGTTGTTGTAGTGCTCCTGTTATCCTTTGGTGAGAATTATGTTGCAGTACTGTCTGTAGACATTAGATGACCTCCTGTTTTCGATGGATGAAATTTGAGATGTGGAATAATATTGTGGAGGGAGGGTTATTGCCAAGTGCCATTTAGAATACAGCTATAGCAACTTTTCACCAATTAGTTTGTCGTATATAAATTTAAGGGAAATATTGCTCGGTGCCGTCACACAGATCACCAAACTGGAAAGTAACATCCAGTGTGTCACAACTCACGACAAACGATGGTAGTCTCCACTTTATACCACTTTGGGACGATAGAGCTATTTTCTTTTTGTAACTTTTAAAATGTGTTATTTCAATCTTTACAGTGGAACCTATAATTTTCATTTGAATTATAGGATGACCTATACTGGTTCATTATCCATGAAAATGTTACTCTTAGCTCCAAAATGTGGACCTGTATTTGGAAATTCCTACTACTTTCCAAGTGCTCACTTTATGGGTACCTTCCATTGTTTGTGTATTTAGTCACTATTGCCCTTCTCTGTTTCAGCATTGTTCAATTGATACCTCATTACCTAATCCTTATGAATTGTCTATACATGAAAGCCATTGTCTTGTCCAGTGTCCTTTTTTTTTGAATGACCATCAGCCCATCACAATGCTAAACAGATGATGAACTCACTGAGTCAATGTATATTTTACTTGTGTGGCTATTTCTGTCTAGCTTTTCAATGCATCAGAGAAGAATGCTTTGGTGTTTTTGAGACCATCATCAGATTCTTCGAACATATTATGCCAAATTAGAAATGAGCCACTTTTTGGCCCATTAAAATTCTATCTTAGCTTTCCCCGGACTTTATTAATATATCATTTTAGCATGTTTAGGGCATCTTATGTAAGTCTGTAAAAGGTCTAGTAGGTGTGTTAAAAGGTACATCACATTTCTGTTTGAGCCTTCGTTGGCCCTTTCTTAAGCAGTTATGTGTGCAGATGTTACAGAATTATTAGATGATTGTTTTTCTTTGCAATTATTGAACATATTTGTGGATAATCATCTTTTGATATGGGATAGATACAAATAAGAACTTATGTTTCAATTTGTACACACTGTACATAGTAATTCTGAATGGTAATTGTGCCCACAAAACCATTATTAATTACTTATGCGTTAATTTGTACTCCCTCCGTCCCAAAGTAAGTGTCTCAACTTTGTACTAACTTTAGTACAAAGTTGTATTAAAATTAAGACACTTATTTTGGGACGGAGGGAGTACACAAGTGTACATGTTTATTTCTAAAATTAGTTGGTGTAATGACCAGTAAGTAGAGAAGCATATGAATAGTTGTCTGGCTTTCTGTATGACTTGATGAGCAAGTAGTATTTTGAGCTTGGTTTAATACTGATTGTATTATTAGTTGGTCCGTCCTGTAATGCATTTAGAGTTGTTTCACTATCATTTACCCTTATCATATTCACCTGGAAAATTGGGGATGGTAGGGGTGATGGTAGACTTCAAAGATAAGAAAATGTGGACTGACTAACTAAAGGGGTTTCAAATAGTTAAGTGAAACAACGATGCAAATGTCATGTGGGGCGCTGCGGACAGGCGCGGGTCGCGCGCCCAGGGGCAGCAGCCGACGGCCACAGCTGGCGAGGCATGATCGGGACAAGGAGTCCTGATCCTACGTTGGTTCCTAGAGTCCAGGAATAGTTAGTTTCCTAGTTTGTTAGGAGTCCAGGAGTAGTTAGTTTCCTAGTTTGTTAGAAGCCCATAAGGCCTTTATATATCCTGTAATCTGCACCCTTGGACGCAGGCAATAAATCATTATCTCCTACCTCCCCCTCTACTCCTAATCTCTTCTCCTGCACCATTGAGCAGTTAGGCAAAAACCCTAGCGCTCCTATCAACCGAGACTACGAACTACGTAGTCGAGGTCCTGCTGTCTTGGGCACCGAGGTCCTTGACAACTTGGTATCAGGTTCCAGGCGATCCTCTTCCCCGTCCGCGCTCCATCCGCAGCCCGCCGCCACCCCTGCGTCCGCGCCAAGCACACCTCCATCGCCACCATCCGCCGCCGCCTCGGTCACTTCCGGCATGGCAGAACCAACCACCGCTGATCTGGCCACGATGATCGAGGCCTTGACTGCAACGGTGGCGTCCCTGCAGACGTCCGTCGCCGCGCTCCAGAAGGACAAGTCTACCTCCTCGTCGAGCACTGCCGGCGCCCACGATGGGCAGCACCACAATGATCGCCCGCCCCGGTTTCAGAAGATGGACTTCCCCAAGTTCGACGGCAAGTCAGATCCGCTCGCTTTCCTCAACAGATGCGAGTCCTTCTTCCATCAACAACGGATCGCCGAGGAGGAAAAAGTCTGGATGGCGTCCTACAACCTTGAGGGTTCTGCCCAGCTGTGGTACATGCAGGTCCAGCGTGACGAGGGCACTCCGCCGTGGCGCCGCTTCTCCGAGCTGCTCAACCTCCGCTTCGGGCCACCTCTACGCGCTAACCCGCTGGGCGAACTAATGGCGTGCAAGCGCACAACGTCCGTAGTCGACTTCCAGGAGCGGTTTGAGGCGCTCCTCCCCCGGGCAGGCATCTTATCAGAGACACAGAAGGTTCAGATCTTCACCGCGGGACTCCAGCCACCCCTCAGCCTCGACGTGGAAATCCACAACCCGCAGTCCCTCGCCGTCGCCATGAGCCTCGCCCGCAAGTTGGAGCTGCGCGACCAGTGCGCGCTCACCTCCGCACCACCGGTGCGTTTTCAGCAGAAGGGCATCCTGCCGGCGCCCGTACCACGCCTCGCGCCCCCCGTACCGGCTCTACCAGCCGCACCCCCTGCACCTAGTCTGCCGGAAGGGCGCCCAATCAAACGCCTGTCACAGACAGAGATGGAGGAACGCCGTCGCCTGGGCCTATGCTTCAATTGTAATGAGAAGTTTGGCAGGGGCCACAACCGCGTCTGCCAGCGCATCTTCCTCCTCGACCTGGCGCCGGACGACGACGACGACGACACGGCCTCCGCCGCCGCTGATGCCTCGCCGGCCGACCCTCGGATCTCGCTCCACGCGATCTCCGGCGTGCGCACGAGCGAGACCATGCAGATGCATGTCACCCTCGGGGGTGTCTCCCTCCTCGCCCTGATCGACTCAGGCTCCACCCACAACTTCATCGCTGAGGAGGCGGCCGCTCGTGCTACACTGCCATCCCCCACCACCGAGAAGATGCGTGTCACGGTGGCCAACGGCGAGCGTGTTCCGTGCCAGGGCGCATACCGCGCCGTCTCCTTCCGCATCGACCAGGAGGCGTTCTCGGAGGATTTTCTCGCCTTGCCGCTCGCAGGCTACGACGTCATCTTGGGCACGCAATGGCTGGCGACGCTTGGACCGATCCTGTGGGATTTCCGCGCCCTCTCCATGACGTTCTGGCGGAGGGGCCATCGGGTCTGCTGGCGCGGCCTTGCCGGACCGGACGGGCCAGCCCTGCAATCATGCAATGGCCGCGATTTCCTCGACGCCATCCTCACCGAGTTTGACGGCATCTTCGCCCAACCCTCCGGCGTACCACCACTCCGCAGCCGCGACCACGGCATCACCCTGCTGCCAGGCTCCGCCCCGGTGGCCGTCCGTCCGTATCGCTACCCGGCCGCGCACAAGGACGAGCTGGAGCGTCAGTGCGCCGCCATGCTCGCCCAGGGCATCATCCGAGCAAGTCGTTCCGCATTCTCATCGCCGGTACTGCTGGTCCGCAAGCCCGACGGGTCCTGGCGCTTCTGCATCGACTACCGCGCCCTGAACGCCATCACCATCAAGGATGCGTTTCCAATTCCGGTGGTGGACGAACTCCTCGACGAGCTCCGGCACGCTCGTTTCTTCACCAAGCTCGACTTACGCTCCGGCTACCACCAGGTGCGGATGCGTGCGGAGGACATCCCAAAGACTGCCTTCCGTACCCACGACGGCCTCTACGAGTTCCTGGTGATGTCGTTCGGCCTCTGCAACGCGCCGGCGACGTTCCAGGCACTCATGAACGATCTGCTGCGGCCGTACCTGCGTCATTTCATTCTCGTCTTCTTCGACGACATCCTCATATTCAGCGAGTCGTGGGCCGATCATCTTCGCCATGTGCGCACCATCTTTACCGTACTGCGCCAGCACCGGCTCTTCGTCAAGAGGTCCAAATGCTCGTTCGCCGTCGAGTCGATCTCCTACCTGGGTCACACCATCTCCGCGGCCGGAGTGGCCATGGATCCGGAAAAAGTGCAGGCCGTGGCCGACTGGCCGCAGCCTCGCTCGGCGCGCGCGGTCCGGGGGTTTCTCGGTCTTGCAGGGTACTACCGCAAGTTTGTCAAGGAGTTTGGCGTGGTCGCCGCGCCCCTGACGGCCCTGCTTCGCAAGGACGGCTTCTCATGGTCGCCGGAGGCGGCAACAGCTTTTACCGCCCTCAAGACGGCGGTCACCACGGCTCCCGTGCTCGCATTGCCCGATTTCACACGGCCGGGCGATACACGGGGGCTCCGATGGCTTCCCTGGGCCGAGTACATATACAACACCGCCTACCAGACATCAACCCAAGAAACTCCGTTCAAGCTTGTGTATGGCCGTGACCCTCCCACTATTCGCTCTTACGAGCCGGGTGATACACGGGTGGCCGCAGTGGCCAGGAGCATGGCGGAGCGCGACGAGTTACTCGCAGACGTCCGCTATCGTCTACAGCAGGCACAAGCGGTCTACAAGTCCTACTACGACAGACGCCATCGGGACATTCGGCATGACGTGGGCGATTGGGTCTGGCTTCGTCTTCGCCAGCGCGCCGCGTCCTCTCCCAACCTGCCAACCG